TTTAGTGCATACATGGTCCACATGAATGGTGAACTTTCTACCATATTAGTGATGGCAATAATTTTAAACATATACTACAAACCCAAGAATTTATTTCTGTAGTATCTGCATTCAATAGCCATCAAAATATTACAAGCATATGAGATTACACATTCCACTACTTCCTGCAACTGCAACAATACCACTGGCATCAGTATTCAACAGTAATTTATAATCTTGCTTTGGGTAAGCTACCACTGGATCTATAACTAAAAAATATTTGAATGGCTGAAATGCTTGGACAAACAGCAATACATAATATAGATCAGGCACCTCTTCCATAGCATTCCTCTCAGGGTAAGCTCCATTAGCCTCTATAAGTATCAGCTGCATTACACAAGCCAAATGGAATGGTGCAGGACTTGTACAAACTATTTCTAGTGTTAAAAGTAGTTTTAGACTTGCATTTATCATTCAATTCAACTTGCCAGTATCTGGATGCCAGGTAGTGCTGAACTATTGGTTTTCTCCCAATGAATCCAGTCATTCATTTCTTTGTGGGAATGAAAAGGTACTAAATGCAAGTCGCTGCATTCACTCATCTAAATTCAGCAATGAACCTTGATATGGTCTCCTTCTGTAAACATCCACACAATTTCTTAAGACTGTATAATTCCATTCTTTAACATCTACTGTACTTCAGCACTGGCTATTCCCTAGTGTTCCAGGGTAGCCTCCAACATAGTTGTTTTATCAGATGTGCATCACCTGTGTCTATGTGATGATGTGTAACAGTTGTATGAAATCACTGATCATCTGGTCTCATGAATACATAAATGTATTCAACCAACAATTCAATGATATTCAGTTGCTGGGTTGATTCTAGGATGCTCATACAGTTGCCAACTAGCAGCCTCAGATGTGCTGTCAGGCATGTATTTCTTTCAGATATGGAGGAAAGAAGCAGTCTTTGTACAAATTGAATCAATTACCTCCACTTTATTTACTATGCCTAGAACCATTCCAATGGGAAGCTGAATATAGCCAAGTACCAGAGTGACCTTTGGTCATGGAGAGACCTGGGGTTGTGCAGAGCCCATAATGGAGCTACCCTCAGCAAGTCGTTGTTCTGACATTTAGAGGCAAGGAACTAACATTAATCTGAATATAAGGTTCCTGAGTACAACCACTACACAAACTCCAACGTTCAAGATGTCTCAACCTTATTTTACCAAGACTCCATGGGAGATAGGCTTCTACCAGACCCATAGTCCCAATGAACAAGGTTAAGCAGATTTTCTCCTGAATTTAAGCGATGTGCTTAAAGAATATCTGGTCTTTTTTTTTGAAGTGTTTCAAGCAGGTATTTGCTTGGAATGGATGAGCTCTAAGACAAGTAATTCAATGCCTTATGTTAAGTTTGGATGGTCTGGTGCTTGACTCAGTTTAGCAGTATCAAGGATCTGCTTGGTGACTGATATAAAATCCTGGACAAATTGCATCAACATTTTGATCCAGTGAAGAAGTGAACTATCCATTGGACCAAGTTCAAGATTCATAATAGATGTTCCTCAGAGAACGTGTCTGCTTATATGGATGATATGTGTCAACTACCTAGGAAGGCATATTTCACTATGGGTATCTTTATACATATTTACATAGAGTGGATAACAAGCAAAATGATGGAAGCAGAATCTGTGGCAACTGGGCTCGAGGTGGTGACTGAGTTAATTTTAGATTGGTAGCACAATCATTAACAAGTAACCTCTGATACTCTATAAGCTGTGTGTTCACCTCTGGATGCACCTCAGCTGCAGTAATGCCAGCCACAATGCTGGTTTGTGTCACCTCATCCTCCATTTCTCTCCAGATAACCATTACAGCTGAAGAGCGTGCTTTCTAAAGAAAAATGTAATTTATGCATCAATTCTACCACTGCAGCAGATGATGATAATGCACTAGGCTGCACCCACAGCACATTTAGAAGTAGTACTACCTTTTCAATATGGCTGTAAGCAATCCACTGTGTTTGGGACCAATTGGTTATCAATTTCTAAAGCAGACAAACTTCACAGTAACCAAAGTTAAAGAGAACAAATAAAAAAATGGATTTACAAAAATAAATCTAATCAGAAACACCTTAGGAGTGAAAATAAAGGTGCAGCCAAAAAACGACTGAGTGTGCAACTTAAAGGAATGAAATCAAAATTGGTGGCCAAACTAGTAGCTACACTTATAGCATTGATAAGAATTTTACATCAAATATTCACTTATTCATTAGCTAGGCCACATTTTTTGTTCAATTTGGGGCATGATGGTGGGTAAAACAAAATAAGATAAAAAGAGGAAAGGATGTATACTTCCCATTTACTTTTGGAATTTTGTTACAGATGGCCTTGGAACTGGTGTTGGAAGAGATACTGAAAGTGAATTTAACCTTAGACTACTTCTAGATGTTTGACCCACCAAGCATGTGTAATCTGAAAGGATATGCAGATGGTAAGAGTGAGATACTAGCAAAAGATACTCATGGCTTGTTTGTAAGCCCAATGTGCCACCTGGCAGTCACGGGTCCACCACAGACAAGAACAATGTGGAAAATATGTCATGTTATGAGAAACTGTTAAGACTGCTGCATGAAGAATATTATCTGTCACTGCTTCCACAAAGTCAGCACTAGACAGTAGATTAATTATAGCTGGATAAAGCTTGAGAGTGAATCGACTTTCTTTAGTTGCTACTGTGGCACACAAGTCAGTCGACAATGGCATGCTAATCTCTCTCAGAATGTTTGGAAAAATGATCACTGCTTAGTGAATCATTTCCCACTTTCCAAGAAAAGGAGATAAAAGATAAGGTGAACAGACAGATCTATAACAGTAAGTGCTTGAATAGGGGCATGGAAATAAGTGTATTCTTCAGGGATAAATAGGTTTATGGTTACAGATGCTCTATAGACCCACATCTCCAATCAATACTGCCATTACCACAGAGTGGGCTGTAGCCATTCAGGTCTCTCAAGAATTGAAATGTAGGTGACAGCTGCATGACAAGAACATCAAGATCTGCTTGACCAACCTCTCCTCTGTGTGACAGCCTGATCTAATTAAATCAGAGAATGTACAATGCACAATATCTTGTCTTGGCATATAATTAAAATAAGTTTTACAAAATAACTTTGAAATAAATTTACACAGCATAGAACTCTTGTTACCTTCTCAGTTTGCACTTCTGGGTCTATAAATATATTCATTATAAACTTTTATACAACACATTTCAATTTCATAATTGTGTGCAAAACAGCTACAAAAACTAAACTCTAGCTACAAATCTAATGAATCACCGAATAGAATCTACTAATAAGGGGTCTTTCTTCTCCTCAACATTAAAAGCTTTAGGTTACATTCTTTTGATAAAAAAAGAAATAATTTTGATACACACTAATATCAATAAATGACTAAACTTTATTCATGCCAAAAATTCCTATTCTGTTACAAAGTAAATCTGCAATACAATTTGCAACCAATTAAAAATAAAAGAGGACACTAGTAGTTTCAACTTGATCAAAGTATACTTTACAATTTCAAGTGCATAATTTGTTAAGAGTTCAACTTTGAAACAATTAAACTGCTTTATTTATTCATTATCATCATCTCTGAATGGTCCTGTATCACAGTATCAGTTTATAAGAATCTGGAAATTGGTCGAAAAAATTTGCTGCAAAAAAAAAGGAAAAAGAGAAACTGTAAAAAGTGAATTTGAACTGAAAAAAACATACAAACAATTACCTTATAATAGTGATTTGAAAGTAATAATTTTCTGAACCATCCTACTCTCAACAGTACATAGAAAAAAAAACCTGGTTTCTCGAGTGAGTAAACAATTTAACATTAATTTTTAATTGTACTTAAGTATCTACATTTAAATGATATTTCAACTCTGCTTACAAACTTTATTGACAAAAATGCTTTGAAATTTTGTATGTAAGCTTTTTCATTCATCAAATAGAAGAGAAAAAAATCATAAGTGTTCTCAGGTTTCACTGAAACAACTTACTTGAAAACTGGCATTAATATGTAAGAAGCCAACTGAAAACAATATAAAAATATAAATTAATATCTATTTTGAAATATTTCAATTTAAGGGCTTTTAAGTGGTAGTCCAAGGGGTCTTCGTGGCAAGTTCTTCTAATTTTCACACTGGCACAAAGGCAGAGGATTTTAAGTTTGTTGCATTGATTTATTTGATGGCATGGACAAGTAAGAGATAATTCAAAACAAGTACATACATTTAAATTTACATAATGGAGGATCAAATGTATGTGAGTGTGTGTAGTTGGGGGGGGGGTAAGGGGTTGCCAGAAGAGGGGAAGGGCTAAAAATTATATTTATTCATTTTAAAAACTTCAGGTTCAGTTTCTAGTTTTTTCTTTACACATTTGAATATCATTAGATAATTGTAATGATATTTCTGTTTTCTTTTCTACACACAGTTATAGAAATGCAATGAGAGTATGACCTCATTCTGATAGCTTGAGGTAATTTTGACTTGTTTGGCAAAAAAAAGTATATATATATACTGCTAATTATGAGAATCATCCACTAAAATATAAAATTATCCACCAAGATTTTTCTTATGGAAAATTACTTACACGTTAATATTGAAGTAGTTTCATGGTTGCAAAGAAAACAAGTAAATACTTACGTTTCTTCATCAGGCTTATTGATAATTAAATTTTATGTTCACACCAGTACATATATAAATAGCACAAGTAGCTTTATGTGTACACAAAGCATACCTTATATATACCTATAACTTGTCTTTTGATTCTCTAATATTGAAGCAAAACATTTATTCCTTCATTCATACATTGAGTTAATTCAACAAATGGTTTGATTCACCATCATGCAACTAAACGATACTTATTTTATAACTATCAAACAAACTTATGGTCAACAATTTCTTAATCAGCAAAGAACCTAAGCTCTTGTCGGTCCAGCTCAATAGCTCATGAAAAATATTCACCTGATGAGAGCTGAAGCTGAAATAGCTAGAAGCTGTAGTTCTATACTGATCAAGAACTTATCTAACAAAAGTAAATATGTTTCATATTTGTGAGACATATGAATCTTGATCCCTTGCATGGTGGTGAATCAAATAATCTGCTGGAGCATAAGTGTCTACAGGTTAGTTTACATAATGGGTTAACTTGTTTAGAAATAGTAGTAAAATACCAACTACATCTATAAACAACCAGGAATAAGTTTTTATCAGTGATAAATAACTATCAGTAGCATCAGAATACATTTACTGTTATTTTTAAGATTTACTGCATGTTTCTGTATCTGCTGTCATTATCCTCAAGTTCTGAACAATGGAACATGTAGTGATGATTTTTATTTTTCACAATATAGATCTGTTCAATTTAACCTTATACGTAACTGTGAGCACCTACCAGCTGTTAACAACTGCATATAAAACTTCAAAATTCAAGTAGATAATAATTAAATATTTCAACATTTTTTTACTGAAAAATATTTTAGAGTTGATATTTTGTAACTTTTTTTTTATAATGATGGTATTAGTACACAATTTTTATTTACTTAAATAATGCAGCTAAGAACACTAAATAATAACATGCACTAAAAAAGAATGTCCCGTAACTTATAATTTAACTGGCTTTCAAAGACAAGAGGGGCTTAAAATAATTCTCTTACCTACTTGACCTGAACACCATGAAATAAGCATTCAAACTGAAAATGAAACTGACAATACTCTCTACTGAAAACAATGTTGTATTATACATTTTTAAATAGATTAAAACTTTGCCTTTCTATTGGTTATAAATGATATAAAATGACAGAGAGAATTACTGGCAATTTGTGAAAGAGATGATGTGACAGGTGGGCATTGAAAGTGCATTTGATATCCTAGTATATGACTCCATAAACAAAGAAGATTGAAGGCTATAAAAATTAGACTTTGCCTTGGTAATATGTATATAAAAATGAGTAATTTATATCAGATTATGTACTTCAAAGAGGGGTGGTAAATAAATTAGAGAAGGGGAAGACCTAGAGAACAAACATCATGATTTTATTACTAAAGTATGTTGAAGATTTATTAAAGTATTTCTTTACAAAATTAAAAACTTGTATAATATTAAAATTTGATATATCAATTACATTTTGATGACAAGTTTATTCATATGCATAGATAATAGTGTAATTATATTTGAATATAATTCTCTAAAGGGTCATGACATGCACAGTTTGACCTACTCATAGTGAGACGGTTGAAAATACCTAGAGGTAAAATTTAAGCTCTGTTATAAAGAGCTGATTATTAGCTACTTATGTTAATGTAGACTTAATAAAGTGGTGTGAAAAGTAATTTGTGGTACCATGAGAAAGTGATTAAACATAGCTCCTGTACAGAAGGAAAAGAGAATTTAGAAAGTACACAGAAAAAATTTTGATGATCATACCCTTATATATTTGATACTTTTGTTAATTTTATTGTAGATAATTAAAATAACTTATTATTTATGAAAAAGAAACTATATTTATTAGATATTGATCAATAATACAGTTATCAAAAATACTGTTACCTAGTCTGGCCTAACATCATTGTGACAGGTCAGCTTCAATGTTATTGATAAATTATTGCCACTTTTAAAAAGTAGTAATAGTTTTTTTAGTTTAAAAAAATGAACAAAACTGCTAAAGATTCAAATCAATTGTATTATGGTGCACTGGAAAAACTTTTTAAACAAGTATAAATGTATGATATTATGCATATTTATTTTATGTAAACAAGTGTTCTTGGTTTGACGGACATAAAATTAAATGTTTGTTTTTCTTGTTATACTTCTCATTATGCATGCAATAAATAACCAGAAATCATATGAAACCCTTTGATAAGTGCATTCCTAAAATATCAATTCTAAAATATTTGTTGGAATGGTTAAAATTCTTATTTTAATTAAATTTTAAAATTTGATATGCAAGTCTGCATTGAACACCAGAAAGTTGCTCACAAGTCTAGATAGGTTTAAACTAGGATAATGTTATCTTGTTTGTTTTTTTCCTGGAAAAGAATTAACTTACTATAAAATTTCACAGTCTAAGTAAACTTTATTGTCTAATGAGCTAGATTCAAAAGCCATGCACATAAAAATAAGTTCAATTAGTATAATCATAATAGTTCTTTTTTAGGGGATATACAAGTCTTATATGTGTGCCTTGTACAAGGTTTTTAAAAGGTGTCTAGATTATTTGACATAGAAGTGATTAAAACTTTTATTTTTGTGATCACTTACCACTTAAGTATATTTTGTACAACTATCAATACAAAAACCATAAAATAAATCAATAACATACTTGTTTATTCTATGTTTCTTTTTCTTTTGGCTGGACTTCTGAGCTACCTGTTTCACCTATAAAATGTTATAATGAACTGAAATAGCATGCACGAACTCTCAATAGCAAACATAAATTACATAAGAAAGTACTGATTCTCAGAAAAATAAATCTTAAAACTTTTAAGACACGAAGAAGGTTTAAAATAACATTTAAACTTTGACATAAAACTGTTTTGGAAGAGAATCAATATGATGAATAATATTTACAAACAAAACTTTACCTTGAAAACAGAAATAACCTATTCAGACTAATAACTTGTCAGGTACTACTTAGGAGTGAAACAGTCTTTTAAAATAATCGTTACTTTTGTTTTTGTAACTACAATTAGCACAAAAGCTATTTACAAAATGGACAAATGCTGAATTTTCTTATGATTGAATTATGGCATTAAAAGTGAAAAATGAAGGAGGGGAATTAACTGCATTATCTTCCTTTTGAAAATCATTATTTAATCTATTAAAACAAGCTAAAACAGTAACGGTGATTGCTATTCTATACAAGAAAACCTGTATATCTAATTTAAACAATCATAAAGGTTAAAAAAGCAAAAGTAGGATAAAATCTTTCACAAAATTTTCATTTCAAATAGTTTATGTTATTGAAAGGAATAAAACTACCTTGTAAGTTACTAGTTAAAGTTCCCTCATCTTTTTCTAAAATTTCTGCCTGCACTGCCAGTTGCTTCCCCTGTAAAATTAACATTAAAATAACCATAAATTGTAACAGAAATTCTCAGAACTAAGAACTCATTTAGCATTATATCAGTCACTTATTCTACTAATTCACATGCTGTTTTAGCCTATGCAGTATTACAAACACTTGTGGAAAAACACACACTCTGTAAATATTGAATATTCAATTAATACTCAATGCTACAAGTCAAGAAAAATGTATATATATCACATCTTAGGATCTTTTTTGCTAAAGTTCTGATTTTCAATTTTTTAAAACAACAAATTATAGTTCTCAATCCAATTCTAATAATATCACACCAAAGACCTTGATTCATTTCATCTAATACAAAATTATAATGGCTATTGTAATATCACAAAGAGTTTTAACTTCCAAATTTTCTAAAACTTATATAACTAAGTTCTATATTCAAACAGCGAATTTTTAGACTTCACTTGTGGCATACAACAAGAAGTATGGTTTCCCTAACAGCCAATTTTTTTATTTTATCATGCTGTATCTGTTATTCATATAAAGTAATTAACAATTTAATACAATTTGTTATATTGTAACTTATTATTTCTTCTTACCTCACCCACCAGCAGCCTCAAATTACATTTTTCTACTCAGTTGTTTAAACTTTAACCTGAAGTGTAGCCTGATTGTTTTGTTACATGTGAAAGGCATTAACACAGGTGAAAATCCCACAAACCTTAAATTGTTATTCATTATAGTTACAAAACACAAACCAAAAATAGTATGATAATGGAAGGGGCACATATAATTGACTTTGCACATAATTCACTTATAATATTCTAAAAGTTAAACAGTTAATTACACAATAAGAATCTCCTTTTAAAATTAATATCAACCAAGCTCCCTATAATAGTCATGATTATGCATGACTACTCAATACTGCAAATTCCAACATAACATGATTTTGCTAAAATAACAAAGTGAGCATTAAACAACTCATCTTAAATTTTCCATAAACCCTCAACTGTACATAGACATTTTACAAATATCCAATGGAGCTGAAACTGAACTTGTCAGATATGTGGCTAAATGGAGGGAGAGAAGAGACTGATTCACATGTGACTAGAAGTATGTGAACTTCTTTCTGATTTTTCAGCTTTCACCAACTTCAAATCTTTTTGTTTCATCTTATTAACAGTACAACAAATTAGCCTAGATTCATTAAAATAGCTTTTTTTGGGCTGCAGGTTTCTTTTTTGCAGTCGATAGCATTGGTTCAGATTGGCTTTGGTTGTAATTTAAGAGTTTAATGCTGTTGCTGTCTAACACACTGTTGTGAGAGATATTCTGCTTCCATGGCAAAAAAAAATTAAAAACTCTCTTCCTTGAAATGTTGTTTCCTTTGGCTCTACACTGTTAAACAAATCTACTATACGGGTATCCTTTTTTCAAAAAGGGATGCAACATATCTATAACCTCATGTCATTACACTATCAAGTTATTAAAATATAATGATGCTAAATATGTTGCCTGTGGTGTTCACATTAGCAGCAACACTTCATTGTATTAGCATATGCAAACAATTATTATCAAGTACTATTAAATTGTGTAATACTGGTAACAAAACTATTGTAAAATTAGGTACAATAGTGCTTCCAGATCACAGTTCAATGTACCAGGATACAATGCGTGCATTTTTTTCATGTATATATAGACCCTGTATCTATATTTGATGGGGAATTACTGTTAGTGCAACTTATAGAATATATATGGTAGCTGCTGTGTACTAATTATGTTTTCTCTTTGTTGATATCATTGCATTTACTTGTCAATGGGTTAGTGTTGTAAAATTAGTAACATTAAAATACCATTTCAATAAAAGTTAAAACTTCATACCTTTTACATGAGGAGTGAAAAAATATCAGCAACATTGCTATCAATGTTTCATTTTCTAGTCCAAAATGCTTTATGCTCTACTAATACCAACATTATACATGTTGTAGTTTATTTTTGTTACTTTGGTGCCACATAAATATTCAAAGGAGAAAAAAAAATCTAAGTAAATAACAAAAATTCTTTTATCCTACCTCCTCAAAAACAGTACAAAAATCTTGAAGGGAATTAAGAGAACTAAAAACTGCTCTGTACTGTCGTTTTATAGGAGGATCCATACTCATGTCTATGGCAGCCCAAAAAGCTTTTGTTTGTTCAGACCGCAGACATGTCTGTACAGCTATGATGTGGTCACACAATAAATCTCCTTGGTCACTATGCATCTGTACCCTCGCTCCAAAGACAGAATCATCATAAAGGACTCGAAGTGGACCAACACCTAACAACTAGAAAAATGAAAAAATTAGTTTTATTTAATCACATCACATATCTAGCTCACACACACACAACAATCAAGAAGGGAAATTTAAGCGAAGTTAATCTCAACCTGAAAAACTTGAGAAATCAGACTTCAAATTAAAAATTATATATAATGTGTACATTACATTTTTAATGCACTCTACCACTGATGTTTTAAAACAAACAGTGGTAAGTACCAGGTTGTAAGAAGTTAGAAAAAAAGAATTAGATACAATTGTGATGTTAATAGTCAACTTCACGAATATCGTATGACCTAAACACAACGCCACTAATACAAGCGCTTAAAAGTGATACAATATTGACTGTTCTTTAGTTGCTTCCTTTAGCAAGATTAAAAAACAACATTTTGTATAATTATTAAAAAACATTCTCTATAAAACCTATCCCAAAATTATATTATCCTACAACAACTGTGAAAAGGAAACATCTTAATATATTTAACTGCAAGGCAATATATAATGTCTTCTTTTTGCTAGTTACAGAAATTATAAAACTGAGGAACAGTGATGGTTTGAACAGAGATCATTGCACAACCTATCTTATAGTTTGATAATTTCACTACAGAAGTTTTGTGACAAATGAAAAAGTAAAATAATTCAGTAAGTTTAATATACTGCAACTTTTTAGGTAAGTGCTTGCATGTTTTTGTAAACATTCATGCTTGCATGCACACACATATATATTACTTTCAAATTAATGAATTTTTATTAATATTTCTAAGCATTTGCATATACTTTCATTCTATGATAATACTGCAAAACAAATTGGCCTAGTTATGTACATTATATTACCCAAACTACTGAAATATCATATACAGAATAGAAGGTTGTCCTGTTTTGCCACTGGGGGCCCATTTTTTGCAATGAATGTGTCAAACTTTGGCATTAATTACATCCTGTAATTTTTGTTAATAACAATTTGTTACCAGTTTGAGAAGCAGTATCAAGTGTTGTGAGGTTTTAGGCAGTTACTTAGGTAGCATTCCAAAATGTCCCAAAGTGATTCAACTAGGTTGATCAAGTCACATTTTGGATGTTATCTTTCTCAAATCACAGTGTGCAGTGTGAAATGGTGCATTATCATGCTAAATGAGATATGTTTCGTCACAAAAGTATTACATCAATGACAACAGCAGAGCATTTTTTTAAATGTTACAATACCACAAAGCATTTATAACTCTAATACTGGAATAATTAATCCAAACCACAAAAAACAGTCTGACACACTCATATCTAAAGCACTCTCCAGACTGCTGTCAAGTCCAGATCCATCCATTTGAAGCAAACAATGAATAGTGGTATTCATTACATTAATTTTCCATTGTTTTTCACTTGTCAGAACAAGAATGAAAGCTGAAACTTGTCATTTTCAAGTATGATGAATTGTCTATTGGTAGCAGACTATATGAAATCCAGCAGTACTGAAATTTCATTATAGTTCTGGGATATGGATTTATGCCAGATGCATAGATTTTCACTTTGGAAAAAATTTCAAAGCTTACATGTGCTGAGAAGTGCTTAATGTAACATTCATAAGCCTCCTATTTCAACACATTAGTTTCACTGGGTTTGAATATAAATAGATGAGTTTACATATCACAGACACTGATAACATCATTCAAAAACCATTCTTCTCAAGACACAAGCTCATTTCTTGTAGAATATTCAAATTAAGTTTAAGAAAATTAACATCACTGGTGCTCATTTTCATAATTATAGGTAAGTTTCTTGCAAATGTCATACATACAATTATGTTGTTTACTGTTTCTTAACAATGCATCACACCAACATTTTACATCTTCTGTAAAGTTAAATTTTTAGGTAGTACATATAAATATCAAGTCAAATAGAAAAGGATATTTGAATTTATGACATTCAAAAAAACAAAAGAAAAAATTTCTTCTATATACTCAATATTTAGGAAGAAAGCAAAGACATTCCAAAACATCAAATTGCCCTAAGAATGATTAAAAGGAAAAAGAAAACATTATCATTATAGCTTTTTTCTTATGTGTAAAAACTGAGGGCAGTTTTAATACATTTACTTCAGAATAGTAAATTTAATTTTAAATATAACAGCATATGTGTTTACCAAATTCTAAAGACATTTACAAATTTGTTTTTGCTGTACTGGGTATAGTAAATAAATAAAACAAACATTACGATAGAACAATCACAAAACCATGCTGATGATGTGATTGAAGGTATAGGTATTTTTCAGTATTCAGATACAGTTGATATATTTTCACGTCAAAGAATTTGAATATTCTAGAAATTAAGTAATATGGAAAATAATATTCATCATTAACTGTTTCTTTAGCAGCTAACAACCAGCCTTTTTATAGAGACAACTACTCCTGTAATGTAGACAAATGGTTTAAAAGTTTCCTGATAAAACTGTCACAAACTCTGTCAGTAAAAAGTGACTCACACTAAGAGATGTAATTGTATTACTGATAACACCAGTCTACTATTTTGCTCTTCTTACAGAGTGATTAGAGAAAGTCTTGATTTAGTATTTTGTAAATTTCAAATGCTTCAAAACTGTACCTTAAAATCTCTGGTCTCCTGATCATAGACTGAGAAGCTAATGCTTTCTTCAAACATGATGTCATCTTCTTCTTCTTCTTCACCACCATAATTGTTCCCTTCAGCAAGATTCTGGACATCCTCACAAGTAACACTGTCATATTGTGAAGTTGATTCTTTACCTGGTACAATAGGAATGCTTGGTTCTAACTGATAAACTTGATCTAGAAAGAAAATCATAAAAATTGAAAGAAACAAACATCTAAATGCTCTAACTTTCTATTCATATAAACTTCTACTAAGTGACCTTTCTTATCCCTGACCTAGTTGGGCTGAGCCAATATTGCTCAAACATCCTACATTCAAGTGGTCATAGTGTAGGTTTTTCCCCTACTGTGAAAGAGAACATGTTTCACTGGACTGATAGTTTAAAAATAAAGTTTTATTGAGAAACTACAGGTTTTACACTTCACTAGTTTCATTGTAAAACTTAAAAGTTTGTTAGCAATATGTGAAAGAAAATAATTCAAGTTAAGTTAAACCCAAACAGGAATAAGACATTAAAAAATATTTTTCAAATAACAGTATAATTACACAACAATACAAACATTACACAACCACAGATCTTAGAGCTTACACAAATAAATTCATAATTTTTAACATTCTTCTTATAAAATTAGATAAAAATTCTGTAATATACTAATAACTAAGTATACTGTCACATGTATTTTCCTAGGTTGTGTTATATTGAAATTATAATCAAAGAGCAAATAATATGTTTGGAAATGAAAACTACTGTGTAGAACATATCTAGTAGTGTATCACTAAACACAGTGCTTAGTACATACGGATGGGCCGAGAAAAAAAGGGCTTCCAAATTCAGTCTATTATTCTATGATGCTTATAAAAAAACTGCTAAAGTTGAGTTATAGCCTTATTTGAGACCTAAATGCCATTACTGAGTGTTTCACATTTTGTGAAACTCCCAATATCATTGAAAAGTGTTGCTAAAATGAAGAACTGGGAACTAACAAAAGAGACCTCATCTTTCTTTTTTCTTTTCCAACCCTAGCCATAAAATATGTGAAGTTTTCGAAAAGCATTTAAAACTACTTGGGAACAGGCTATTGCTAAGCGCAGTAGTGCTTTGTACGAGATAAAAAAATTGTAATTCTAGTGTAAATGATGTTATCATTACCTCTTGAAGTTAGCTTTCTTACAAAAATCAGGTATTACTTTAAAAAGCTTAAGTACAGGGTGAAGCAGGAATTACAAGCAAATAACTGATGAACATTAAATGACTATCACGTTTATAATACTCAACGCTTTGTACACTATACAATTGGTGTCTTTAGGGATCCAATCTTATATTATATATGAAGTGAAGGAGTAAAAAAAAAAATCAATACACAATGTTAAATTCTATTACACACATTCAAAGAATACACTAACTTTCAGTAAGGGGGAAAAACATTTTGTAAATGTAAAATCATGTAGGGATGTCAGAGTGAAAAAGAATGCAAAAATGAATATAGGGATGATACAGCTATACATTTTTCATATGTTCTTTCCTTACTGTATGTTCCTCGACATAAAGTCCCATGAAGTCAACATTATGACCAGTGTTGATTAATAACCTATTGTAGCCAATTTATAATATCAATATCTGAGGTCATTCTAAAAGTGCAATGAAAAACTGACAAACTTGATATGACATTTACAACGTATATTAACATTGAATTATAAAAATAAAACAAATGTTCACTTATCAACCTACTTCAGTAAAATTATTTTTTGAACAAAAAATTGGGGGGTGGGGGTGGACAAGTAATGAAACATCTTTTTCAAAAATTAAGTATTATGTAGGTTGTAGGGATGGTAATACCAAAAAGCACAAAGACAAGGTAGAGATCAAAACACAAAATCATACAACAACCACTACTCAAGTAGTCAAATCTTTCCAAGAGTAACTTTTAACTACAACTAAATTTTAAATTACTTTCAGTTGCATGAATTCAAATTTGAATAATAGTATTTAAACTGAATAGTGCTATACAGTCTTACAGTGGCTAACAACCATTAACTTGTAAGACTGACTCAGTACTTATGTAGGGATTTTTGTATGATTTTGTGTATTCATCCCTACCTTGTTTCTGTACTTTTTGCCATTGTCATCACTACATCATACTTAATTTTTGCCAAATTTTTTTATTGTTTGTATATATATTAAAGTATTACTGGAACATTCTTAAGTAAACAGCAGAAATCAAAAACTAAAAATAAACAAAATATTTTAAATTTTTAATTTACTTATAAAAAATCGAGGTTGTAAAACAATTATAACAAGCTTAATATTCTGAAGCTGCTAGAAGTTTACACTTTATTTTTACATTTAGAGCAGAAAATATACATTATTATACTATTTGGAAATCTCCAGAAACCTTAATTCTTTAAAACAAGAATGTTTAAATATGTTTGACTATATCAAGTAATTGAGCAACAGTATCAAAACTGCATAACACAAAGATTTCTTTTGTATAGATACAGATAACTTTGAAAGATATTTTATGGCTAGAAAATGATATCATTATCACAATGTACACAATTTCAATATTTTATAAGCAAAGTTCCAGACTAGCAACAGAAGCAAGAGAGAAATTTGTCTTCACTCATCATTTCTTTAACATACTTAGAAATGTTTGAAGTATTATAGATATATCAAGAGTTTATGAAATTTAAAACATGAGACATGCCCAGTCCAATTATGAAAGTATAGCAGTATTACAATGGAAGTTTAAAAATGACAGTAACACTGTCAAGTTAAACTAAAACCTTTTCCTTAATGATAATAAATTTAGAAGTAATTTTTTAATCTTTGCTCATTTCAGATACTATTTTTTTTAAATCATTATCTTTTATAAATTACAGATCTGAATAAAACCATAACTTTCTTTATTACTAATATTGAATGTACACAAATATTTTAATCATATACAACTCAGACGTATATTTAAGAATAATCATTACCATTGAGATTCTCAGGTGAAATTTCCTCACAATTTTCTGAAATTTCTGCCTGGGCTGCCATTTGCTTGCCCTAATAATTTAAAAATCATCACACTAGTTTTATAACATAATTAGCAACTTAAAACTGAACCCAAAAACTTATTATAATTTTAATTTTTAAGGTAAATCTTATAGAATATTTCATTTGAAATTTGTTATAACTTGGGTAACATAAAAATTAAAACAAACAATACATAGATATAAACATATTATATACACAGGCACATATTATAAAAAATAGTTTACTATTTCACTGATCTTAGTCATCTGTACCCACAGTTATTTTCCTCCTAACTGAATTTTTATTTGAAAATTGTTGCTGGTCAAAACTACCATATCATATTTAGTTTTTAATTTATAAACAACTTAAGATATAAAGCCAATTGCTATTTTAAGTAGTAAGATCTAGTTAAAAATGATCCTTCACTGTAACTACAAATAAAACATGTGGCATGTTAACAACTAATAAGGTGATACAAATGTTTTATTCACACAAGCCATTTCTACATTCACTTTTACAAAAAAATTATCAAAGTTAGTTTTTACTATAATTCATGTATTGTTAACAATGAATGAATAGAAAATAAATACAGATTAAAACCAATCAACCAATTTATTTTAGTAATAAAGAAACTGAAATAAAGCCATACATAATTTTTACTTCCCAAACATCACGAAGTTCTCCTATAACTCACGCACTTGTCCAAGCAAAAATAACAACTTAGGAAAAACCACATCTAAATGTTATTTTTTCTTTTCTTCAAACACTTAAGATATTCAAGAAGAAATTAATGAATTTTCTATCTGTTTGTTTCAGGGATTGAATCTTTTATATGATAATGGCTAACATATGTTAAACAAATGCAAGTTGTGTTTATGATACACCTATGCCCCCACTAGTGCTATACTGTATGTTGAAGCCCCCCTCCCCTAATTCTATTGACCTTAACCTTGAGGTCTAGACCTTTGCATGTAGTATCCTGTCCACAAAATCAGGAAAGACAGATTATTGGACAGGGGCAAACCAATATGCCATTCTTTGTTTTGCAAGCAGTGGGAGTATAAAAAACAAACTACAAAATGTGTTATTGGTTAACTAAAGCATTGGCTAATTTTAAACAATTATTTTTACAAGCTTAATGTTGTGAGGTATATATATACATCTCTGTAGTTTTCTCAGGGTTGTTTCTTATTTGCTTTCTGATTTATGACAAACTATTCTACTTATTTATATGGTAATAGTGCACATAAAGCTGAAATGGACTTGTTAAATTCCACAAATTTATGAATTACAATACACATGACTAATTATCTGACCAAATACGTGTAAATCTCTGCTAACTGTAAATGCTTAATAAAATAAATATCTCAAATATTAAATAACTGACTATGAGATCATTCATGAACAACTTAGAACTTTACACTTTAAACTACTACAAAACTAGAGATAAGAGTCAGAAAACTTTCTGACAAAATTACCAGAAGCTATTTTTTGGGGAAATTTTCTATTTTGCAGTCTTTATTTTGAATCATTAAACTGTTAAATTGCAAGCTACATAAAACAAGTTCACCATTTTTTAGTTGAGAATTTACAGTAAGAAGTATGTTTACTTGTAGTTTCAAATTTTTTTTTATTACTCTGTTATTTGGTAACAAGGTAGTAAATTTGAGACTGCTCTATATTCTACTTGGCAGGTATTATTTTAATACGTTACCTACTTCAGAGAAGTTTAGGATAGGTAACTTTTTTGCTTCACATTATAATGTATATACTAATCCTTTCTTTTTATACTGGGGAGGTTTCTTGGAATTTGTTATAAGCCTAATGCCTAGGCCAAACGTACTGAATTTAAATCACTACATCATTCATCATGTTTCTCACATAATTTGGAAACTTTAAATCAAAGAGGGAGTGTGCTCATTGTGATTACACAGAAAGATGGCATTCCAAGAACTTTTGAGTGAAAGTAAAGAAGAATGTATAACAATATGTTAACCACTTTATATCTACAATATATAGTGCTAATGAAGCCTTTCAGCCAATACCAGGGCTCAACAGACGATTCTGGACACAACAGACTGAGTAGTGGCTTACACACTAATATTCTGTCAGTTTTTTTTTTTTTCATTCTTTTGTTTTTGTGAAATCTTATTTAAAAAAGGTGGTTGTGATAAAATGGCATCAGTTTTGGAAAAGACTGATCTATATAACAGGAGTCCAATACAAGAAATCTCAATTAATCTAGCTGTATCTTCCTCATTGGCTGAAGATATAAGAACTGAAAGATTTTTTAAACACTTCTAGATTAGAAAAAAGCCTGATCTTTAATTGATCTGCATTACTACTGATCTGTCTGATAAATCACATGAACCTTTTTACATTTTTATATTGTCAGAAAAAAATTTTTTTTAGGAAAAAGAACATTTAAAACAAAGTGAATTTTTTGTTTCAGTACCCAGTAATTCAAAGATATCTTTTACTGGGATATTTAAATTGTTTAACATTAGGGAGAAGTAAAACTGCATCCACTCATTCATAATTTCTTAACACTTGTTGCTTAGATTAAAAAAAAAAACACCTTTAAAACAAGAGGAAATAATCTCACCTCCTGAAAAACAGTACAAAAATCTTGAAGTGAATTTGAAGAACTAAAGACAGCTTTATACTGTTGTTCAATAGCAGGATCCACACTTGTATTCACAGCAACCCAATGAGCTTCTCTTTGTTGAGATTGCAGGGTTGTCTGTGCAGCTATGATATGGTCACACAGTAAATCTCCTTGGTCACTATGCATCTGTACTCTTGCTCCAAACACAGAATCATCATAGAGAACTCTCAGTGGACCCACACCCAAAAACTAAGCATCAAAAAAACAAAATGAGTGTTGTAATTAAGTGTTCCAGGCAACACATGCAAAAGTTAAAAGTTACGTGAGGTATGATTTAGATTTTATATCAAAACTGCCTGATAAAATTGGTCATAACTGTAGTCTAATTATATTAGATGTAGCATCTTTATATACTAAAACTGAACATGAACTTGGAATGGCAGCAGTTAATTATTTCTGTGAATGTTATCCAGAGCTTTTGCATGCTAGAATTATTAGAGTTTTTAATTAAAGCTGTAAAATTTGTATTGGTTAATAATTATTTTATCCATAATAATTATTTCTCCCATCAGATGAGAGGAACCACCATGAGCACAAAAATGGCACCTACAATCTAATACAATGATATTTTGGTAATGGTTTTCTTAAAAGAGATGTATATGTATACAATTGTTGATCAAAGAATGAAGGCAAACGTTAGCTCTTATGTGATGTTGCATTGGCTCAGATGGAAGGAAAATTCAAACTGGTTTAACTTTTAGTCAATTTAGTTATAAATAATCTGGATCCAAAAATTAAACTCACTGTCGAAGTCTAATAAATCTATACACAATTTGGATATAGTGATTGAACTATCTGATAATGGCTCCTTATAAACCGATATTTTTACAAACTAACAAATTCCTATGCTTATTTAGGTTTTAGAAGTAACCACCCATGTCAAAAGAAATATTCCATATACATTAGAGAATTGTACATATTGTTAACAAACAAAAAAAGAAAGAGAGAAACAATAAACTGAGTGAATTAAAAATGTTTTCATTAAATATAAAATATCAAGATGACCTAATTGACAACTGTATATCTTACACCAATTTATATGGACCAAAAGGCTATTAAGACAGAAAATTTTCCAATTGTCGCTACATATACCCCAGGGTTAAAAGTTAGAATCAAAGAGTGTAAAAGTTTGATTAAGTAATGCCAATGTTATTGTATCTTACAGACAGCCAAAAATTTTGAGCTGTGTACTTTGTTATAAATACAAAACTGAAAATAGACAAGGTATCACTCAGATATAACCTAAGATATCAACTCTGTAATCTAGGTTATATTATTAATATCAATATAATTAGAAACACAGATAAAAAAACATTATGTTTATAATCAAAAGATCTTTTTCTTGCAATTCGAAGAACTGTATCTATATGTTAAAAATACTGTGAATGCTACACTGGCCAAACTGAAACTTTAAGATTCAGAATGAATCAACATAAATTTCATGTTAAAAATCCAAGTCAAGAGTCCATTAAGATGTTGTGAACATTTTGGCAATTGTATCTTAAGTACCCATGCTATATTACAAGAAACTTTCTTTTTTCTGTTTTTCATTTTGGTCTTGTGATATTGAACAAAAAAGATTATTATATGAAAGTTATTTGAATTTTATGTAAATAACTTGTGAATTTCTTAAGTATTTAGTCATGTTTTATTTATTGTTTTTATGGATATTAAATAATATATAATAATATACACACACACACACACACACACATATATATATATATATATATATATA